GACAAGGCAAAGGAACCCAGGAGACCTGGGCTACTTTATAACTAACCTCTATAGAAATCCTCATAGAAGTCAAAGAACTTTCATAAAGTGAATACTCCAGAGACAACCCATTCAGAACAAGAGACTCTCCATTTCTGTTGGTGTTAAAGCCTTGCCATGTTTTTCTACATGGGATTGCTTGGTGGGCATTACTGCTGGTTGGTTTTCTTTCAAGCACACCCATAAACAAGGCCTATCCAAATTGATTTCAGTTGTTGGTTTTTTTTTCCCACTATATGCATTTAGGGGCTGGCACGAGGAGCCGAGAATATACAAGACTTCAAACATGATTTCCTTACTGGGTGAATAACCCCAAGGTATAACTTTCCCAGTAGCCAGGAAGGTAGCTGCATGATCCACACCACATTTCAGAGTATATCAAGCCCAAGACATCATGGAAGTTCCAGCACTCTCCCAGGCACAGTAATTTAGTTTTCATCACCTCTCCTCCTGGTTATACCAAAAGAAATCCCATGACACCTTCCACCAACCTCAGCTCCTGATTTTCTGACGAGTTTCTGGACTCTCAAGCAAGACTTTAAACATTTTTTTTTTCCTTTTCTGATTTTTTTCCTCAGATTCTCCTGGCTTTTCCCCTGCATTCTTTACATCTTCTGTACTGAGCTGCTAACTCACCCTCAGGTTAAGGAAAAAAACACTTACTTGCAACCTATTTGAAACTAAGGGCTTGATCCCACAACCACTAAAGTCAAAGGCAACAAGGGAAGTTCTGTTCAATGGGAATAGGCCAGACCCAGAGTTCCTGGACAGTGTGTTTTTAATCAGGGAGCCTCCACATTTAAAAAGGAAATCATTTGCATCATATTAGTATTCATTGTCCACCTACACAGGATGGGAAATGTGTTGAACAAAAAGGTTAAGTGTGCTGATGCCAAGAGGGCTTGCCCATTGCAGAGCGGATCTCAGCAATGAAAGCATCTCAGTTGTACCTGTTCCAGGAAATTACATCCCAAACCCTCTGCATTCATGGCTCAAGGGAGTCAGACCTGTTTCTAACGGTACATAAAAGGTCAGCTGTGATCACTGTGTGTATTATTTCATCCCAGGAACAGGCCAAGTGTACCAAAAAACAAAAATAAAAGTTTAAGTGAAAGAAGGTAACAGAAGCGAAGCTGCCGCAGCCCATCTGACGTGGTTTACTCCAATATGTCACTTTAGATCAACAGAGAAATGTCCTCCTGCAAAGTGTTTATCAAGGGACCCTTGACTGGAAAAATGATACAAGAGTTCTTTGTGCCTATTGCTGAAAAGCATATGTGGCCTTCATCACTCAGAACAGTTCTCCCCAGCCTGTGGTTCACAGTCAGCTGGAGGCGGGGGCTACTTCTGAAGACTGTGAAACAAGGCTGAGACAGAAAAGCCTCTTGTCAGAAGGCTGCAGTTTGCTGCAGAGATGCAGTCCTCTCCCCTGGAAGAGTTTTAGGCACCTGCAGTTCAAAACAAGATCACAAGTCACTTGCATACAAGATGACTTGTTTGATATTAGATATTAGCTCCACTCAAACCCTTAATTTTCTTTCCAAGAGGCTTCGAGATTTTCTCCGAGTCCTGTCCTGCTGCCTTTTTACTGCTTCACTTATATTCACTAAATCATTTTTCCCTTCATCTTTCCATTTAGAGCAGAACCCGAAAGTGCAAATCTCATCTGTTTCCAGCCCTTTTTTTCTTTGTATGGATCTGCGATGATGAACAGCACCTTCTTACCCTTGCATGTAAATCTGTTAAGCATGACCAGTAAAACTGGGAGCTTAGAGAATAGTAAAGTTGAGAAGGGACCTCTGGAGATTGTCTGAGGAGAAATTATACTCAAAGATCTTTTCCTAAAGATTAATACCGAAGAAAGCTTGTGCAAGTATCAGCCAAAGTAGCTACTGATGTGCAGTCTCCAAAGACTTGGAAAAGCAAATCCAGCCCAAGCTTGCACCAGTGAACAGGTAGGAATGAACTATTTGCCTGAATTTTGATGACCTTGAACAACTCAATAAATCACATCACTCCACATACACAGCTTGATAGGAGTCAGAGCGCTGTGCTGCCCTTGAGAGCTGGGCAGTGGCTTCTGGGAGGAAGGAAATAGCTGCCACATGCAGTAAATAAAAAGAAGTTAAAAACAAGAAATACACACGCAGTTCTGCTGCAGAATCATTCCATTCAGCCTGGCTAGAAACACAGGCAGCTACAAACCCATCATTCATCTCCAACATAAACACAGATCTGGTTAGACTAGCAGCAACATAGGTTGAGATTTTTAGTAGATGACATAAATAAATGTATTTTTATATTTCCTGACCACATTAAGCTTGAAATCAGAGTTCTAAAATGTGAGCCACACACTATAAGGCTTCTAATAGCCAATAAATTCAGATAGTCACAGTGAAGCAATGTCTTCTCCTTAAAGGTACATTTTGCTGCAGTGTATATAAATACACTGGGACTTGGATTTTATGGAATTGAAATTATATGTAGTTGAACATGATCATTCAAAAAAGGTTAAAGTTCTCTTAGGAGGACAGCAAGATGGAAACCACTTCAGAAGGCACAATCTCAGATTCCAAATATTATTTCTACATGGAAAGACATTAGTAAGGAGATGGTGGGAGGCTGGGGAAAAATACCTTCCCCCCAGAAGGTACAATCCAGGAGAGGAGAGCTACAACATCCCAGGTCAAGAACATCAATGTATTCCTCTGTTCCTGTCCCAGCTCTGCTACACTAAGAGAGCACAAAACAAGTTTTTATCCTGTCCAGTACATCCCCTTCCCATTTGTAAAGTAGGGATTATAGTGCTAGTATTCCTTCAGGTGGTGTTAAAGGAATGAGTGGTCTTAGAGAATTATCAGTAAAACTTAGGAGCTAAAATACAGCACTTTAAAGTGGAGATTGGCATTATCACCATGATATCCCACACTGGGAAAATGAATACAACAGATATAATGAAATTTTGGCTTTTCAGAATGGGTCAGTAGCAATGTTAGGAGTGATTTTCAGGTGGTGGTTGGCCTTACAACACTTAAAAGCTACCTGAGATCCATGAAGACTGATGTCCATGCTGACTCCCAGGAGTCAGAGAACCTAATGCTGAGAGAACCTGTGGGATCACAAGGCTGACATCCAGCCTGGCACCGCTCACTAAGCAAGCTCTGCTGAAGGACAGCAGTGCACTGCATAGACTTCGAAGGCAAGTCCTTCAAAAGGGAACACAGTTGTTTAGTTTTTGGACCTACCACTTTTTAAGGGTCTCTTACAAAGAGACAAGTTCCCAGTGGGTGAGCAATAAAGCCAGTCAGTGTGTGCTGGCTCTACTGCCCATTATTGACTGGATATTGCTGGAAGAGCCAAGATGAAAAATATCTGAGTGCTGATGTCACCTCGACACAATTGCTGTGGAGGTTACTCAGTTGTCCTTGGGGCGCCTATTCATTTTCAGAGACATGCTGATCTTTGCCTGGTGGCTGGAGTTTTATGACCAGAAAGAAATGAAGATGGCAGCTGAGAGCTTCACTTCACAATGAGTAAAATCATCCTTTTAAGGGAGAATTCATCATTCCTAGCTCAGTTTAAAAACCAGCAGTTGAGACTAAGGAAATGGAATGTACCAGCAGAAGAGATTTTAAAACACAAAGTACTTTCAAGTGGAATATAGCTGCACAATGACAAACAAAACAATAATGACAACGTCTCCACCCACCTACGTTAAGGTGGAAAAGTCAAGTATTCAGAGCTGGCAACACCAGAATCAAGGTTGCTTTGTGTAGTCCTAATTCACTTCTCCTGTGAGATACAATTAAAAGCTATTTTTCCCCATGGCCTCACCCCAGTTAGTGGGCAGGATGAACAGAGCTATTCAGTATTTCTTTTTGAGTCAATGTGTGGCCTTGGTTTTATTTATAGCATGCAGTTTAAACTCTTCACTGAAAACAGGATTATTCATATCCTTGTGGGTTACAATATAACACTTATCACAGAAATATTTGCTTCAAAACCATAACAAATGTCTCCTGACAAAACCCCTGCCAATGAGGTAGGATGGTAGCATGGTCCCTTCAGCCCAAATGCTTAATCAGAATCAGAGGTCCCACAAGATTGTTTTGATTAGTATGAGATCATCTGAATGTAATACAGCGTATAATATATTCTTGTCTTTAGCAAACCAATGGTAAGAAAACCCCCATTTCTCCAAGAGAAAGCTCCAAAACTTCCACTGTCATGAGATCTGTATTTAAGGAGCCAACTGTTTCCTTTCAGGATCATCCACAGCATTTGCAGACCTTGGTTTCTGTGGTTTAAGGCACCTCCTTCTAAGACCACTGGGCAAATGAAAAGCACAGGCTCGTCTGGAGATAAGCAATGGAGCAGAGTAAGGCTAGGATGCAATTATTCCCAGTTCACTTGATTTGGGAAGATTCCCACTGAAATTTGCAATTTAAAAGAAAAAAGAATAAAAATGACTCCCTACCTCTGTTTGCCCTTATTTAGAAGTGTCCATGCATTTACGTATACACACCTGAACACCAAAAAGCAGTCATATCTGATTGCAAAAAACCCAAGACATTTGTATGTCTGTAGGATTTTGGCTGGAACACAACAGTGTCAATGTCCTTTTTCAGCAGTTATCAACCACAGCCGATGCTTTACATAAACTTGAATTCAGGGACTACACAATCATTCTGCAACAAGATAACTGACATCCACCCTTTTGAGTTGGATCTGAGCCACAAATCAAGTCACTCTTAAGACATCATCTCTGTGGGGAAAAAAACCATTACCTCGAGTTCCTCCACCAGTATGAAACCCATCTGAGAAATACAATTTTCAAGTTTATTTGCACAACCTCTCCAAGAAATCAATTCATGATTCCCTATGTCATGCTGCTTGTTTTACATTGCAGCCTTCAAGAAAAATGCTTATATTCGAAATATGAAAATATAGCAATTACTTACTGTTCTGACAGCCATCAGGAGCTCTTTATACTCTTCTGGTCCCTGTGCTTATCTCAAACTGCTCCTCAATGATATTCTCTTCAGAGCAGAGGATCAGATGGCTGAAAGGAAAATGCACAATGCTACAGTTTCTATCCACAACACTGGGAACTTGGCATGTCTGCAGGCTTTGGCATTATTATTATTACAAATATATTTTGGAATTTGTATTTTTGGCATAACTGGAAGATTGCTGTAAAGAATGTAGTTCTTCTTTTTAAAAATGTGTTAACTCAGCTGGGATTATCTCAATTCAAGTACTCCAGCAATGACTGTAACTAACATTCTTATTTGATTTGAGGTAGCAAGAAGAAAGTTAACAAACATGATCCCAAGTATTACTTAGTACCATTACTACCTTAGGCTGCAGCTGCCTGAAACACTGGTGCTGCTACAACCTCACTGGATCAAGACAGTTTTGCTTGTTAGAATGTTTTGTTTCTTTAATGCAAAGCTATTTTAAAGCTTAAAAACTTAAAGAAAACCAAACCAATCATGCCTAACTGGAACTACCAGTGCCAGCCTATCTTCTGCTCTGGATTTACAAAGACATACTTAATTCACAATGTAAGTTACCCCTCATAGTTTAAGGCAAGACCTTTAATTTATGCAGACAGAAGTTTATGCTGCTGTCTAGATTGTAAGTCCATCCTCCAAACCACCATTATTCTTTAGTACAGCTCAATACAAATCAGTTGTAACAGCACTAGGGATTTTCCACTGCAGACATGGACTTCACTTAATTAACTAAGAGCTGTATAAACACAGCAGGGAAAAGAAATGGTCTCTTCCTCAAAGACACTGATGCAATTATTCTGTTCTAGCAGGGGGATCACAAAGCATTTTGCAGTTCAGTCTCTCTGGAAGGAAGGCTGTATTTCAGACCTCTGTATTTCAGACCTCTTTTACACATGGGGAACTCAAGGAGGAATAAGCTCAGTAGCAAGACACAATGAGCTGTGCCTTCTCTCTGAAAGGGGACACACTCAGAGTGCTGGACTAGAAGTTCACAAGTTCATTTTTGCAGAAATTGGCACTAAAGCTCAGAATGCATTGAACTCACAGACCTGATACCTGGTTTAGAAGCACCCACCTCCTCAGCCTGATTAAGACTACCCACCCTCCACCTGATGTTCTCAAGTGACCTCACTGAATTGCTCTCAGTGCAAAAATACCTGTCAAAAGAATGCACACAAGCTCACTAACCCACTGGGAAACACAAGCAATGTTGCTTCATCCACATGCCTGAGGAAGCTATGGTGATGTAACAGTTGCCACAGATCCTATACAAGGTAGGAATTATAATCATCTTATTGCCAACATCTGGTCAAGTTTAAGATGAGAATCTTACAAAGCTTCTACTTATAGCTCTTCGTGCTTTTCTGAGCTTGGATTCAATCTCAGCTCGGGGTTTTTTAACTTTAAGAAATGCATTCTCTGATTCATTGCAATGTTTCAATGAATTATTTCCATTATTCACTTCTTTACTGCCTAAAATTGAAAAAAAAAAGGCTCCGAAATTTTAACCTTTCACATCACAAAGTGACAAAGACTCTCAGAACCTTGCCTAAGCCAGGTGGTAATTAGCCAGACCTACTGCTTAGGCAGTCCCCAAAACAAGGGGGCTGTGCTACAGCAAAGCACTGAAGGAGATATTTCACTTGAATAATACAACAAAACTCCACTGAAGATTGCCAATGAGTCCTAGTAAGGCCTCATCTCTGAAATTTATCCCTGACAAGTTAAAAGTAAAAGCCATTGCTTTTTTTCTTGCTGGTTTGTTTTAACAAACAAGCTACAAGAAGAACCAGGCCCTGCCACCAAACAACAGTCACTGTAAGAGCTCACCCCAGCTGTACAGGAATTGGGATTATCCTGATTCATCCTCGTACTTTCCCCATCAAGTATGAAACTTTTCCTAAGAAATGAGGACCTGACAGTTTAGAAAACAGTTCTCTCAGGTTGTGCTCATGTGAGTAAGCACTTCCTTTCCCTTGCAGACCTGACAGTGCAGTCCCATCATTCCTTTGCTGCTCTTCTCCACATACTGACCAGACAGACAGACAGAAACAGATCCCCACCAACAAACTAACATTAGTAGTTCATAAATAACAGATTTCCAACTCACTGGCACCTTGTGCAGCACTTTTCACCAGGACTTTTCAAACTGATCTGCAGGGTGGGGAGTGATCAGCACTGCAAACACCTCACAGGTGAAGGGACTGAGGAAGCAATCACAGGGTCAGCCCAGCACTCCCCTGGCTCGCCCCCAGCTCCTCCAGCGTTGTGCAATGCTGCCTCTTGGTGGAGCTCGGCTAAATGCTCTACAAAGTAGCAGCTTCCCTCCCCCGCCTAAACCTCTAGACCTGACAGAAGCAAAACTAATATTGAGTTATTAAGGTGCTTTATCTGTCCACTTCCTCACAGCTTGTGTCTCCTGCTGCATGAGAAGGGTCTAAGGTCATACCTTTTAGGGTAGCATTAAAGATAAAATGCCCAAGGGGTGTGTTTTAAAACTGGCAGTTAAACTGGGCAGCCAGAAGCACTGAGTTTGAATGTTTAATAAGGTAGGTTAAAGATCCATAGAAAGAGCAATTGTGTGACTTTAGTAATGAGCTAATTCAATTAATTAAATAATGAACTAATTCAACCCTTTCCAAATCAATTTGTGGACTCTTACTATGATCAATTAAAGTGCTTGGGGACCTTTATTAATTACAACTATTCCTAGTTCTTCTATGCATTTTTGTTATGCTGCAGTGTAAAGATGAACATTCAATAAAAATAAAACTCTGCCTTTTTGTTCATACTCACAAACTGATGGGAAAGCCTCCAAAAGCATTCTCAATGTTTTGTAGTTGTTAAGACACTTCATTTTCCCTCATTCCCAAGCTTCAGAAGCTTCCTCTTTGTGATTGCAAACAGATGATGGCAGAGCACGCAATTAGACTAATACAAGTAAATTCCAATCAGTGGTAGCCTGCAGCAGCTTCTCAGTATTCACATCAAATGGAGGCCAACTCTTAGCATGAAGCTGTCAGCAGGAAAAGATAAATTAAAAGTGATTTTTAGAAGCAAACTTCTGTGACCTTCTTCATTGCACCCAGGAGTACGTGTAGCATCTGTCACTTATTAGATATTATGGGTTGGGATTTTCAACCATCCACTCAGTTTGGGCATTCAAAATCCAATATGTACCTTTGACTATATGAGTGCAGTCTCACTAGTCTGGGCCATTTGGGAGAACAGTGTTACACTTGTCTGCACCATGAAACAGTATTAATATACAATTTAGGAACTTATTTGAAAATGACATCTTTGAACTTGAGCTTTTAATACAAGTAGAATAGATTGTGAGGGTTTACCCCATCTTTGCCAATCTTTACAATCCCTCTTTGCAAAGCAGAGATGGCAGATTCTCAAATAGCTTAGTTTTTCCAAAAATTATCACTAAGCCCAGTTGGTAGTGGTAACAGCTACTCAGTGCTCTCAGTGGGCACAAAGTACAATAGCACTAGCTTTCATAACAGCGTAGGAGCTGCTAAGTAAATACGGTGTAAGTTTCAGAGCTACCTACCTTGATCTCACCTCAGGGATCACAGTTCAAACACAAGATCTTCCAAACTTCTGGGTGGTTCTTAAGATGGAGACTGTCTTCAGAAGCTGCCCACAGATTTCCCAGGCTACAAGAGGACTGGTATCCCCATCAATGGGAGGCCAGCAGAGGTACCTCTGTCAGACTGGGCACCAAACAGTTGCATGGTAACATCCTGCTGATGGTGCCAGCCAGTGTTTTGGTGCATTGCATCCTGGAAGGGGTTTGAGCCTCTTGGTAACCCAGAGGAACGCAGGTTTGTCTTGTCAGCAGGTCAGGTCAGTACATGGCATAAAAAGCTGGGGAAAAGGTATATTACAAGGTCAGGTCCCCCAGAGTTTATTTGGTGCAGGGCAGAGCTATGCACACATGACCACACAGTCTGGAGAACAGCACTGATGTAAGATATAAAATGGCTTTAAGCACGGAGATGTTGCCAATTTTTATTCTAAATTCACTGGACAATCCTGGTGTATCTATGCAAGTTCAAACCCAGGCTTTTTAGAGCAGAATCAGTCGACAGTGTCCTTGATCTCTTTTGAAAGGCAATGAAATGTATCTCCCACATTTCCAACACTCCCTTTGGCCTTTCAAATTCACTGGGTCAGAAGAAACAGTTCTGAACATCTCTATTAACAACCATATTCCCCCAGCTGCTTCAAGTCAAAGCAACGTGACTGACTGTAAAGCAAGGCCTCCTCATTTCAATTACTTCCAATTTGTTATTTTTCTCTGAAAAGCAAGGCTAGGCCATTAGTACAGTTGAACATTAGACAAAAAGTTTCCAAAAACAGCTAACATAATGCCACGAAAGTAATTTTGTAACACAGAAAAATACAAGTACAGTTACACAAGTGTTCTTGTTCCAAGAACAATTGTAAGTGGGTTTTGTTTTGATTTTGAAAAATCTCCAATATCTCAGGGTAGCTGCAGTAGACCACACACTGGAAAATTATGTGGTTTTCTGGTCACTGTATAATAAGAAAGGATTTTTCTCTCTGAGACAGAAAAGGCCTATTCAAGGTTGGAAAGGGAGTGCTGGAATCAGGAAGCTGGGGAGATAGGTCATAATAGTACGAGGATAATTAGGTCTAGTTGTCTGAACTGCTGCCAGGGAATTAGGAAGGACAGCTTCTACTTTTTCATCAGCCTAGGCAAAACATAAAGGCTAAAGCAAAACTCAAATCAACACCAGTTTCATGGTATCTGCTACTGGGGAGCTCCATCTCTGGTTGTCTATCTGCAGATAAGAGGTTTCGCAACATGAAGTGTAGGACAGAGAGAAAATAAAGTGGGAGAAGTATCAGTTCCTTTAATATAGTGGGGTTTGTGCCAAAGTCTTTGTGATACGATCACACAGTATCCCACAGCAAGACAATACAGAAATATCTATACCATTTATGGATGAAGATCCACCCCAGGCTGCAGACAAGTGAACAGCAGATAAACTGTGACCCGAGCCAGTCATGACTTTGCCCTGACTTCACAACTCGCTGTAGGAAGCCAGTTGTACAACCCACTTTCCAGGTTACTTTACTGCAGTCACTTAGCAATTCTGGATGGACTCCACTGAGTACATTTTTCTAACATTCTTTTTACCAATAAAACAAAGTAAGAGATTTTATAGCCTTGATGTGTTTCTGGCACGTTTTAAAAGCTGCTGCTAATAAAACTTTTCCAAGATGAAACAAGAAGAAAAAATTACCAAGTTGTAGCAATGTAAATATCTCATGACTTTTTTTTTTCTTTGTAAAGTTGGGCTTTTCTGCAGGAAACGGAATCAACATCACAGAACAAGATTGTGTTAAGAGAAGAAAACCCATGTAAGCACAACTTAGAGTGGAACAGTATCACGTTTCTAGAAGTCCCTGTTAAATGGAGTTTGAAAGAATCCGGTTTTCATGCACGCCAAGGGCTTACTCCTGCTGACCACTGAAGTCAGTGACAATTCATCAAAGGACTTCAGTGATGTATAACCTAGTCCCTAAAGCAGCAGACTGGCTTGTACCTATGGCACAGGGCAGAGAGCCAAGAGATCTTAGTGCAGATCCTGGCTTGACACAAACTCCCCGTGCTCCTCATCCATAAAGAGGGGTGATCTGTGTCTGCTTCCACTGTCAGTTCTCTGAATAGTCACTCTCTCTCCTACACACCAGAGCCTTTGTTTTTGAGATGCAGTTGTGATTTAACACTGAATTACTAATGCACACCCTTAATCATCCCAACAACTCTAGCATCATACAGCAGTGCTGTGACTCCTGCACCCTGCCCTACCCAGTTGTGTGAGAGATGGAAGCATGCCAAATGTACAGCAAGTACTTTAAAATGTGCTGTAAGCACCAGGCTCACCTGCAGTAGGCTTACCTGTGTATAAATATTGCCCTTTATGTGCATCACAAATCACAAAGTGCATGAGCTGCTTGATTTTCAAGGATCACCTCCTCTATGCTTGAAAAAGGTCCATCCTAATGAGCAGGAAGTTAAGCACGTGTACCAAGAGACCTGCATGGGTAAGCAAGAAGCTGCTGAGAATATTCCTTCTGGAGTTTCAATGCACTTTTTCACTTCTGAGATCAGAGGCAGTGTATGAACTGCAGTGCCATCACCTATCTTACACTACCAAAGAACACTTTTAATGTTAATGCTCTTTCATGACATTGACCACGAGAGGGCACCAGTACTGCTCTAAAAAAACACAAACCTGAGTAGCTGAATAAATGAATGGGAATTTGTTTGCAAACTGTACAGCAACAAAGGCCTAGAGATAGCAGCTTCCACAGTCAGGAGTCACCCACCCACAGAAAGCCCAAGTGTCAGGCGGCTACAATGGTGCACTGCGGAGGGGAGAAAGAGAATTCCCAGCTCCCTAGAGTCAACAGAACTGGAGTTTTTCCTACTTTCCCTGCAAGCCTCCCTTTGCTTACAAACCCTTTTGCTTAGGGTGGGTTGGTGACAGGTTCACACATCTTTTTGCACGAGTGTTGTCCAGAGGCTCCCTCTGCATCATCTCTGTCCTACCTCAGCCCTCCTGCACAGAAGCAGTACCTGTCTCTTGGGAGGCTCAGCCTCTTCTCTCTCAGCACAGAAAGGCTTTTCATTCCTGGAAGCCAGGTGAGCAATGCCCAAACCCACATGTTTTCAGCCCAGCAAGCCCTAGCAATGGGTTTGCTTGTTTCATAGTCCTTTCAATGAATAGTACCTTTACGGGAGGAGTGAATGATAACTCACAGAACTAGAAGGAACAGCCATAGCTCAAGCTGAACAGCTGACCTCTAAGGCATGAAGAGTTGTTTTTTTCCACAAAGATATCACCATAAGGACTTATAGAAACAAGAGAAAATAAAAAGCATATTAACTTTCAAGCCTGGATTCTGAATACCTGATTCCATATTATGCCATATAAACACAAAACTCTTGACTTCACAAAATCTCCCAGTGACATCTCTCTGCCAAATCCCATCTAGGAATCAGACATCAGACAAGAGAAAAATATCTACAGACACCTCATTCAAGAGCAAGTGCAATTATGTATGAATGTATAGATCACTCGCAAAGCTAATTTTGCTTACAAAGGAAAATCATTGCTAAAGGTTCATATGGTTAAGCTAAACCTTTTCCTGCAGCATTCACCGTGAATACAAAAGGATTGTTCTTTTTTGTTTTAGCTGTAAGTGAACAAAATGCTGTTTTCAACTAGATGTTTCTCCCGAGTTTTTGTGACAGCTGGATTAATTACATGCAATTATTCTGTGAAAGTAAATTTATTCTGAATGCCCTGGTAAATTTCTGGCAGTTCAGAGGAATCTCCTGGCTGGGACACATCTATTGGGAAGAACACCAGGTAAGCCACAAATGGGGGGGGGGGGGGGAGAATTCAAATAACTCAATCTATAATCAAGGTAGGAGGTAATACAGTTACTACAGAACAAGAGTCAAAAGGATGTTTTACACCACCAGCTTTAAGCTTGAACTTCTGCCCTATTTGAACCTTTGCACTACTGATGAACCTTTCTGCACTATTCAGGTAGCTGCTTCTTCTACTGCATTCGTATTTTGCAGAAAACCAGAGCAATGAAGGGTTCCAAAAAGCAAGTATTTATTTGAAAAGAAGATTAATAGAATATTCAACAATGAACTGCACATAAAATTAGATTATTTACTTCAATACAGTGTTGTAAAATCGTGTTTGTTTAAAAATGTGTTTTTTGTGCTTGGCAATTGTTAAAGTACGGAAATTATTTCTATCAGAATTATAGGATGTGGTATTTCAGAACATTTACCTGCTCTTGGGATGCTCAAGGCTGTTAACTGCTTGTCTCAGCGTACATGTCCAATCCTGTAATCCCAGCTTGCTTTCCAAAGCTCCAGATGTATTTACTTTTTATACAACACTGCAATGCAAAATATGATTATTTTTAATATTTTTTCTACTTTTCCTCACTTTCTAACCCCATCTTCAAATCCACCAACAGAAGCTCAGGAAAGTTAAACACGTCTTTTGGGAACTGTATACACCTGGGGAAAGTGATACTGTCCTACAAAGCCCTCCTGCAACTTTATTTAAAATGGATAGAATTGGTCATAGAATAGAATCATAGAATCGTTAGGGTTGGAAAGGACCTTAAGATCGTCTAGTTCCAACCCCCCTGCCGTGGGCAGGGACACCTTACGCTAAATCATATCGCCCAAGGCCTTGTCCAACCTGGCATCCACCCAGTTAAAATTGTAAGTTGATGCTGGAGCTGCATAAAAGGGACATCATCAAGATAAAAGCTGCAATTATTAAAACTGCAACACCTACAACTGTTAATTTTCCTTTTCAACTTCCACAAGGTTTTTTTCCATTACATATGTAGCTGGCAAGATGCTAGAAGCACAATCACTTTTACTTCTTGCTTCTCACAGCCACTGTTTGCAGAGTTTTACTGACACTAGTGGGACAGTGGCATTCAGAACAAAACAGCTTCCAACAAGGAGAATTTAGAATATAGTAGAGATGAGTAATGTTATAGCAAACATGCAGAGAATGCTTCTAATAGTTCTAATTTTGCACTTCATTCTTCCCTCATTTCATCACCCTGCCAGAAGCTTGACTGCATCTTCCATTTCACCCAAGCACTGCTTTTGTAGCCATTCAGCAGAAAAAATAAGCTCTTCCCTTTAGATCACCCTAAGCCTACTTTGTAGGGTGGCAACACTTGACAATGCTCTTCTATTTTACCAGGTGGGAACTGGCAGAGGACAGTTGGCAGTGGGGAAATTAAGAGTGATGAAGACTTACGTTCTGAGACTATGGTATATGCTTGTGCCAATAACACGGCTGGATACAGCTGAGAATTTCCAGTGGACAAAGAATAATTCAGGCTCCTTCTATTATGGCACTTTTCCAAATGGTACTTTTGAACTACGGTTGGTTGTGGGGTTTATAATGCTCTAGATCGACTTGTGTGTTTGCACAAGGAAACTACTAAAAGGGTTTCCTTGTCCTTCCAGGGAAACGGCAGAAACAAACATTCAGCATCTTGCAGAATGCATACTTTAACATCATGAGCATCTAGCTCTGGGGATACAGGAATCCACCTAACTCTGCTCTTCATATAGTCACTTAAACCAGTAAACTTTGAGTAAATGCTAATAGAGTAATATTTTATATTCAGATCTCCCTTTCCTGTCTGTGATTAAGATGCAGAGTGACAAATCACACCCGAGAACTCTTCTCTTTTTTCACTATCTACGAACAGTGAAGACCTATCAACTAAACACATCCTCTGTTATGCAGCTAACTTAAGAAACTAACATGAGTGAACTAGTTGTATTGTGTTTGTTCCAATCTGTTTAGTGTTATCTAATCCACCCATGAGTACCGCTTTATGAAACCTCGTTCTTTCTTCAACATGAATTTATACACACGCATTTCATTCAACCAAAACCAAAACTAAAATGATACAGGCACTGATTTGTTTTCACGTTTTTAAGTGACTTATAAAATGGATTAACCATGTCCTTTTGTATAAAACTAGGAAAATAATCCAGAATCTTTGTACGTGTTTTATATAACAACAGCTACACTTGCAATCTCTGTAAAACCCCATGAAAACTAGCAGAAATGTAGGAAACTGATTTTTTCTGACAGCAAGGCATTTCTGCCACACTATCAATGCACTTCCTCAATACTGCAAAAGAACAGAAACAAGATTTAAACATGTGAAAGAATTAGATTCCCTTTTCAGTGCATGAGAAAAGGACCCCTTTGGTCTATACCACATTTTCAATCATTTTTAATGCACTGTTAAAGTTTCACATAGAAAACATTGGCCTCTTCACTAGGCACAGAGTTATGTTCGGTTCACACACAGCTCTGAAGGTGTATCGATTACTTTCTCATATGAAAATTTAGTATGAAGACCATGGCAGGGGAATGTTGAGATCCTGACTCACTTCTTTTTACCTTCAGGGTTTTTATGGGGTGTTGGAAGTTCTGCGTACCAAACTGAAGGGGCCTGGGACAAGGATGGGAAAGGACCAAGTATCTGGGATGCTTTTACTCACAAGAAAGGGAAAGTGTTCAGAAATGAAACAGGAGATTCAGCATGTGATGGCTACTACAAAGTTAAGGTATCGTTAAAGAGGAAATGCACCTTTAGAAATGTTCTGGAGCCATGTCATGATATTTATTGCTGAATTTATTCTTCGTGCTAACTCCAGGACGAGACAGTAAATGAAAGCCCGGATTTGTGGGTTTGTGCCTAAGCTGAGATGTCTGAAGTCAAGATTTACAGATTTATATTTGTTAAAACATTCTCATTGCAAATTCTGACTAACATAATCGTGCTGCAGAATATCTCAACTCATTTTTCTGTCCCCTGTTTGATGGTGAAAACATGCTTCCACAGTTAACACAAAACATTACAGGACTTCTTTAGAGTCAAGGAAAAAATAGTCAAAAAGCACACAAGTAGAAAGAGCCATCATCTCAAAGCAAATGCAGAAAATAACTGACAGAATCCTCTTTTTTTTGGGCAACTCCTCTAGATTTTCTGCATTCAGTACTATTAAAGACAAATGAGTAACTGTAGAGTCACTCTGCTTAGACTAGAGATATGTTAATTGGGTTTTCTTTTCACAGGATGACATTCAGTTATTAAAGGAGTTGAAAGTGAATCACTATCTCTTCTCTATCTCATGGCCTCGGATTATGCCCACTGGAATTAAAAGTAAGCAAAACATTTCCACCACATTCTTACCAGCATTAGTGGACATTCCATAGTTGTTTAACATTGCCTTTAAGCAGATTTCTGTTTCTTTGTCCACAGAACAGAATTTAACCATTACCCATCTGTTGAAGCACACCCATCACTGTAATGTAAAATGCCTCAGTTAAAATGTTCAGGTTTCTATTCTTCCAGCTATTTGAAAACTAATCCAGGTAATTCCTTGTCTGTGTGTTTCATCAGCAGAGCAAGTGAATGAGAAGGGAATACAGTTCTACAATGATACAATTAATAGTCTTCTGGAAAACAACATTATCCCTATTGTGAGCCTCTACCACTGGGATCTTCCACAGGTTAGATAATGTTTAAGTAAGTGAAATGTTAATATAAATGCTTCTGATAGGAAATTTATATGGAGTTAGAAAAATGACTAAAGATGGCTACATGCTTACGTATGCTTAGAATTCTTTTCTATTAATCTGCATTTTATATACACTGAAGATCAAAAAATCTTGTCAGCTACTGAAATATAAGTAAGTCTTTTTTAACAGGCAGGTGAAACTCTAAATAGCATTATTGACTCTTGACATTCTTCTTTACAAAGGTTCTTCACGAAAAGTACGGGGGCTGGCAAAATATAAGCATGATAAATTATTTCAATGATTATGCAAATCTGTGTTTTGAGAAGTTTGGTGATCGTGTGAAACACTGGATTACTTTTAGTGACCCCTGGGTAAGTTATCAATGCTTTCCTTCCAATCACTCCCATTACATAGTCCTGTTCCCAAAATTCTGTGGAAATGACACTACAGGAAAGTATGTTAAAAATGGGAGAAGGAAAGGGAGCCACTTTGCCCCAGAATCTCAGTGGCCAGATTCTGCACAAGGACAGAGTTTTAAGATATGAAATTACAGTCACCAACACGTTGTTTCCAATAAGCCACAGTATATTATCAACCAAGCAATGAGGCTGTACATTGAAGTCAAGGGGAGGTGAGAGAAAAAGGGGAATGAAAAGGATAGAGAAACGAACCATACAGGAGAGCAGAGGATTCGAGTCCATAGCACAGCAGCAAAATCGTTAGCGCTGCTGTTCAGAGACTAACTCACTCTAAATACTCTATGTATTTGCAGGCAGTTGCTGTAAAGGGATATGACACAGGAGAACATGCGCCAGGACTGAAGCTTGGTGGATGCGGCGCGTACAAAGCAGCACACCATCTAATTAAAGTAAAGTCATGCTTTAAATTCTGTGTGAATTAAGAGGTTTTAGCAGATCATTTATGTTTTTTGATTCTGCTCTTTAAATGGAAATACACTTTTGCACTGATGTAAGTTCCAGCTAGTACACTGTGGGAACTGTAAGCCGTCCTGTTTCCGCTATGTGGATAATTAAAGAATTGCTGATAGTGCACCTGGGTCTTGAGCAAGCCAGGGAGTGTTTGTGTGCATGGGTGCAAGGTCGGGCTGGGAAACAGCCTGAGGAGTGATTGTTTATAGAATGGAATTTATAGGGGCTGAAGACAGTCACTGTGATTGATGTGGTGCTGTTTGGCTTCATAGCTCAGACCCATATCTATACGCTATGGCGAATAAAGAACTGGACTGGAACTAGTTGTGGAGGCTGTGTGGGTGTGTGTGTGTGCGTGCTTAGCCTCTTTCTTTACAGACACCACAATTTCCAACTAGTCCATTGCAATTATCACCCGATTTAAACCACCAGCACCGAGGTGTAGCATGGTGTACTAGGAGCTTGATATGACACTTGCAACAACTTACGTTTTCTTTATAATTTAAATATCTCTTTTACAGTATGTTTCAAACTGGGTGAGTAACAAAAGACCCAGGTTACTCCAGAACCAAGGAGTAAAAATCCTGACCAACAGCTTTGAACTTGAATTCTGAAATGAACTTGACTTTTGCAAACAACTTGAGTAACGTTAGCTCTCCTGAAAATGAACTTTGACTTGCCTGAATAAATTAGGCAAAGACATCCAAAGATGGGACACTGGACATACACTACACTGCATTTTTATTACCTTCATAGGGACCTCCTGGGATTTAGGGAAGAAATCATGCAAAATGCTTTTTTGACATTTTATATGAAATGAAAGCTCCCACTATATATATAAAAAATTATGTGATATTTTAAACACACGGTGCAAAACCTGCTCTTGATCTTTCAGCACTGACTACGGCATAAGATTAAAATGTGCACATGATCTATTTTCTTTAACTTCCAGGCTCATGCAAAGGTATGGCACTCCTACAATGACACATGGCATAGCGAGCAGCAAGGTAATAAAGATTCATTCTGTGATTATGCTTCTATTTATATTAGTGTAGTAAAGATTATGTAAACTGCAGAATTGTTGCTTTGTGGTTTAAGGTATGGTTGGAATTTCCCTAACAAGTGGCTGGGGTGAGCCTATTGATCCACACAGCCAAACAGACAAAGTTGCTGCTGAAAGATACATACAGTTCCATTTGGGATGGTTCGCAAATCCGATTTACAAAGGAGACTATCCAGAAGTTATGAAGAATTACATAGGTAAGTCCCAGTAACCAACTATAACATGAGGAAATTCTACATTTACAGCATATTACAATGACCACCATGTAGTTTAGTCCAGTATGAGGACACAGGAGAGGCAAGGCTAAGCAACAACAAGTCCTCAGCAGTCTAGGGGACACGCTAGAACTATGTTGAGCTGCTCTTGAGTCCAACAGTTGCTTATCTCAGTGCTCCAAACTGGAAAGGAAGCAAATACTTCACTTTTCAAGTCACAGTCCATTTTAGTGCCCCGATTGAGATAAGGAGTTCTTAAATATCTTTCTTTAACATAAAAAACAAAGAACCAGTAGTTTTCCATCGCTACAGCTTGCATTTCTATAGGGTTCCACTACCTTTGTTACACAGGATGAAGAAAGTAGACAACATACCCAGCAGCAAAGCACTTCTTGTGATGTTTCCTTTCCAAGCATTTTGTTGACATTTATCAATGCTCTTTGGAAAAAAAGCCTAATCACTTTAATTCACTTTCTTCTTCATGTATGGTACCCAAAGTGTGAAAGATTATTTCATCTTCAAAAAGCAATCAAACTAAACTGCCCTCTACTAACACCAAGTTCAGGAGAGCAGCATTTACTGTTGGCGAGGTAAAGAAACCAAATCTCTGTGCTTCTCAGGTGTTTCCTATAATTACTTTAATAGGTAAGAAAAGTGCCCAGCAGGGCCTGGGGACCTCAAGACTACCAACCTTCTCAGCACAAGAGAAAACCTACATTAAAGGCACATCGGATTTCCTGGGAATAGGCCATTTTACTACTCGTTATGTTCTACAGAAGAACTTTCCTTCTCTACAAGTGCCCAGTTACCACACTGACTATGATCTGGCTGAACTGGTGGACCCAAAATGGCCAGCTCCAGGACCTAAATGGTTATATTTTGTGCCCTGGGGATTCAGAAGATTACTCAACTTCATTAAGGTGATTATAGAGTAAATCTTTAAAAGGAGAAAAACAAGATGCTGGTTACATGCAGGAACTACACTTACACCATTTTAGATTGTCAACTTTTTCACCTACATGTGTCTGGTCATACTGGGAAGTTTCTTTGCCACCTTGATTTCAGTTCAGAAAACTACAGAATTGAGTAACTTCAAAATGAAAAAACAGCTAACTTAAATTCCTACTTACACATTTACTTACTATTACCTTTAGGATGAAAAATCAAGTAAAATGCATAAAAAATGATTTTCTAAGTCTTGTGTTCTGTATAGGATGCTTTTGTTTATATGAACCAGTCTAAAACCGTCTTTGTTTGCAGACGCAGTACAGGAACCCTCTCATTTATGTGACAGAGAACGGAGTTTCTGAAAAGATACAGTGTACTCAGCTGTGTGATGAATGGAGGATAGAGTATCTGAAAGCATATATTAATGAAATACTCAAAGGTAACTTTAAAAACATCTTTTTAGTGTGTGAGCTTTCTGAGTGTTTTCACCTTCCGATTAATTTTTTACATCATAGAGAAATAAATACTCACAAATCTAAATGGACAAAGTAGACTAATAATTTTCCACAGAATTGAAAACCCAGCCAAATGTAGTGATGCTGATAACTATAATAGCCTACATGAGATTTAATACTGTAATAGATCATCAGTTTCCACTTTTAGAAAGGAGAAATTACATCTACGAGCTCTGGTATCTCTAAGCTAAAGGAAGCATTTTCAAACAATCTAAACTACTTCACATTAACCATTGTCCTGTCCTCCTCCCCAGCTCCTTCTGGTATAAAACAAACCACCTACAGAACCAGATTTTAAGGATGACAAATACAGGCAACAAGTTTAACAGAATCATTTCTATTCTGTTTACAGCTCTGAATGATGGTGTAAATGTCAAAGGCTACACTGCCTGGTCACTTCTGGATAAGTTTGAATGGAACAAAGGCTTCTCTGAGAGATTTGGATTTTATCACATTGATTTCAAAAACAAGAACAAACCACGATACCCAAAAGCATCTTCTGACTATTATAAAAAGATTATCAGTGCAAATGGATTCCCAAACCCAAGAGAGGTGATGTCAATTGCTAGTTTTATTCTTTTCTCTTTCTCTTTGATATATGGGCAAATATCACCTTGAATTTTGGGAAACAACTTGCATGAATACAGTGCTTGAAACAACACCTGGGTTCTGTAAATCAGAGATGTGTTAAATACACAGACCTCCAGAGACAAAATGGAAACAGCCTCAAATACTGTTTCTAAAGCATTTCACAAACTCTAATGGGACTTACTGATGTGCTTTGAGATTTGAAATCATGTTACTATCAGATTTCTAGGCAGAAAATTACACATGTGCTGCCTTATCAGAATATGGCATATACCGTGTGCTTTTAAAAATGTTATTAAACAATTAACTATAAAAAAAATACATTGCAATAAAAATCACAGAGATAAACATAAACCTTCAGAAAATCATGTGTTGACAGAATAAAATAGGTTCAAGACAGTTGTAATGGGCAAATGCTCAGGGACAGAGAAGAAGCTTCTGAGAATGAAACAGTCTTACAGTTTAATCAACCTTCTCAGGTGGACAGCTGGTATGGGGAAGCCATGGACTCCTGCTCCACCACACACCAGAGCCTCGCTACAGGTAATTGTGCCTTCTGTTCTGTTTTAGAAAAGCATATCATGGTTTTCTAACTTTAGATTTCTCAGCAGAGTAACAGAATGCTTCTGTTACTAGACCCTAAAAGATATTTTCTCCCTGAAAGCACAACAGCTTTCAAATAAAATAAGCCTCTCAAGAAATGTCTGTCTTCACTCTCTCCCACTAAAGTCACCATAGCTAAGTGGATCAACTTTGCATGTTAACAGCATACACAGATGAAGGAGTTACTATTTAAAATTAAGGCTGGAGATGACAGTATTCTCCTTAAGATGCTAAAAGTGCTAAATGCTCTTTCAAACAAGCCAAACCCAGAGAAATCAAGACAACCTTGCAGACAGAAAAATCTCTAAATCATAGAATCCACCAGTTTGGAAAAACCTTTAAGTTCATCAAGTCCAACCATTACCCCAGTACTACCAGGATCACCACTAAACCCTGTCACTAAGGCCCTCATGTACATGTTTTATGAACACTTCCAGGTATGGTGATTGGGCAGGCTGTTCTAATACCCGATCCCCCTCCTGGACAAAGAAATTCTTCCTAATACCCAGTCTAAACCTCCCCTGGTGCAGCTTGAGACTATTTCCTCTAGTCCTATTGCTTGTTACTTAGCAGAAAATACTGACTCCCACTACATCCTCCTTTCAGGTAGTTGTAGAGAGTGATAAGGTCCACCCTGAGTCTTCTCCAGACTAACGCCCCCCCCCAGTTCCTTCGGCCATTCTTCATCAGACTTTTGCTCCAGACCTTTCACCAGCTCTGTTGCCCTGACTTCCCTACTCCTGCTGCCACGCTATTTCTGATACAAGCCTGGGTGCTGTTGGCCTTCTTGGCTGCCTGGTCACATGGTGGCTTATGTTCAGCTCCATCAATCAGCACCTCCAGGTCACTTTCCACCGAGCAGCTTCTCCAGCCACTCTTGCCCAAGCCTCAAGCATTGCACGGGCAAAATAAGAGTATTGGAGGGCTGTTTCTGCCCGGTTTCGAACCGGGGACCTTTCGCGTGTGAGGCGAACGTGATAACCACTACACTACAGAAACCCACCACATTTGACTGCTACATAAAATGGAACTATAAAAAAATGGGCTCAGGACTTGCCTAAAGTAGTATCAAGCCACATTTCTGCTCTTTCATACTCCTGGTAACAAAGCTAACAACACCACAAGTTCCAGCAGCTGCTGAAGAATACCTAATGCAGCAGACTTTACTTGCAGTTCCCACAGTGCTAACACATCTCAGTCAAGACCTTCCCAGAGTAATTGAGGACCTTTCACAGTTCCTGAACTAGAATTAGTCTAGCACAGTGGGTTTCTGAAACTTTTAGGAAAGACTAAATAAGCACTATAAAGTCTCAGAAGGAGGATGAGATAAATTCCACATGCTAGAAAAGGTCAAAGCAATCATCCTGAATGTATCCTACTTGGCCTCAGCTGCTGAGTTACACATTCTGTGTGAATTAACTGCATACTGACCTCCTTAAGGCTTATTTGTGGAGTAAAATACTACAAAATAAAACCCATTTGACTTTTTTAAAGAAAAATCATGAAAAGGCTGAAGCACTTCCTGAGGATTTCTCTCTGACAACTTTTTTTCTACCTTTCTCTTGGGGTGGGGAAAACAAAAATCAAAGTAACAGTAGAATACTGCTAATGCACTGAAGCTAACTCATGGTAAGCACGGTATTTGCAGCCCTTTGAGTACTGCCATGTCTTCAGAAATTAAAAAGAGGGAAAACTATCATGGATTTGCTCCAGCTTTTGCAGACTTACAGATTTTTTTGCTGTTTTCTGTTTTTGTCAAAGTTAACATTTAACAAAGTAATTTTAACAATAAATGTTAAAAAAAATCCTTAATCTTTTAACTCTAAGAATTAGTATACTCCAGTAGATTAAATATCTTGTTTATTATTCATTCAAATTTTAGATTCCCTGATTGCTCACATGGAAATGGCGACAGAGATTGTTCTTCCCACAGTTTTCACACTCTGCATACTCATCAGTATTGTCCTACTAATATTCTACCTTCGAAATCACAATTAAAGTTGCATGCTTAGACACACCTTCATTTTGCCTAATGAATAAGTGCAACTGGGCTTGAGTTTACCACAGGCACCTCTTTTCTACCACTGCAGAATGGAACATTAGGAAAGGGTAAGAGATAAAATTTACTGAGGATAAACCAGGAATTATAGAGATTTATAGATTTTAAGAATCACGAGTACTGGGGATTCCTTACTCCTATTTATCAATAACTTTTTTTTTGTGCAAAACATTTGTCTCTTATTATTTAATCAGCATACGCTATACTATGTAATTGTTTCAAGTTGCACTACCAAAACATCAAACTATCAACATAACACATGCAACTACGATCCCAACATACTTCAATGCTTATGCCCAACCAATTATGCTGAAGAAAATCAGCAAAAGTATGCAAGAAAACTGTTAAAATAATTCAGTTCGTATTGAGGGGAAAAAATAATCTGGAGAGAGAAGTAAATCCAAGAATACTCCGATGTATAAGTACAGGGACAAAGGAAACCTAACTGTCAGAAGTCCACACTGCCCTGAACAGCTTTCCAGATATACCTGGAGGATGAAATGGCACTTGACACCAGGAAAACATGACAGTATTGCTTGTTCTGTTGGCTTAATTCACCCTTTGAACATTATCTGACCACATTCTTAAATAAAAAGATCTGAAACCCCAAAGTGCAACACTTTATTGAACGCTTGTAAATAAGTGAACAAAAATATCTACTATATTTTCAAAATAATTATCCCATACAGTCATTATTGCACAACATTTATAACAAACTGGACGCAGACAGAGGAATTATGTCCATGTATGTCAGTCACACTTGAAGCACACTAAAGCAAGTAACTCGGGCAGATGCATTGTTCTTCAAATCACAGAGTGTTTCTAAATATACTGTTGGGACACAGATAATACTGAGCTTTCATCTTTACTGTACCTTTCAAGGGCCTGCCTGCAGAGAAACACGCATTTATCTGAAATGCACCTGACTGCACTTGACCACTGTAATAAAATACATTCTGTCTTGGGTGCTTGCATTAACTGTGGAATCGGATAAGAAACCTGCATAAAAGAAAGAATAAAAATGGGATTAGCCACTGTCCTTGGAAAGAGAAATTGTAGAGATTGGGTCATGCAGCAGCTTCAAGAACTGGTTTCAATACTTTTACTGTAAGAATCACTTCCTGACAAAAACTGACAGGAAAGCTTTACCAAAGCATTACCCTGTAGCAAACCTCACCCCAAAAGGCTATTTCTGTACCAGTCTACATGCTTAATTCTTCCCCATTCTCACGCTTCTGTCATTTTAATTCTAAAAACATAACACAGCAAAGGTGAGAGGCAGAAAAGTCACTGCTTTCTGAAACTCTCACATTCTATAAATATCGTTTCAGCCTTTCAATAAAAGAAAAAACATCATTTTTCTTTAGCTGACAAGCTTGAGTAAGAAAAATCTCAGACCCACTGAACCCAGTATAAAAGCCAAATTTGATTCAAGTGTCTACTTTTATTATTTCATTTTGCCACAAACACTCCTTACTTGTATTGTTTGACGTCATATGTTCAACTGGAGGATTAGTACTAACTTGCCATGATGTTTTAACCTCCTTCGGTCCATGCCCACTACTTATATCCACCTTCCACACTTCTGGGGGACTGCTGAGAGAATACCAAAACCAGTCGAAATTCAGTCAAGGTATTCAGTCACATCTCAATTTTAATGCTGCAAACATTGAGGGTTCTCTTACTCTTGATAGAACTTCTTGACAAGAGCCGAGCCGATGGGCAGTTGAAACACATGCTTCTCATCTAGAGGATTCTCTCTATAATACTTCATGCAGATTCTACAATAGACAACAATTGGTTACTTTGGAGGAATGCTTATGCGGCACTGCATAAACCTTGTGTAACATGAACTATACTCTCAGATTTTATTATTTCCTTTCATTTTCCATTTTAGTCACAAAGCAAAATTTAGCAGGAAGATCCAGCTGCTCCTTCTGCAGTCTCATTATCATCAACATTAAGGAGGGCTGCTTTGTAAAGAGAGTGCCTTTACAACTGCTGAAAATAATTATTTCTTATTGTCATTTCAAGAGCAAGAAGTAAAATGAAATAATTACTGTGTCAAAGGGAAGAGGTTCTCGTGTTTTAACTGAAGTAGGACTGTACAGCTGACCATTATTTCCAACATATGGTGAAGCTTTTGAACACGATGAACTTGTTCTTGTAAATCCACTGATGTGGAAATGAAGTAATCCTGGAACAGCAAAAAAGCTTCTGCTCTTAACTGGACACTCAATGTCTACAAGCACACAACACAGTCTCAGGGTACTAAAATAATTTTCCTGCTTCTTTTGAGATGGCAAAATTTTAAGAACAGCCCAGCAGACTCAGAACTATGTTCCATGCTATCCAAGTATGAACAGAAGTTCTCTGTCCTGCCTGACAGCCACCCATATCAGATACCTAGGAAGTCACATATGAATAACGAAACAACATGGATATTTCTGCGGTACGTTGTTCCATCCTCACGATTTGCAATACAGTTTCTCAGCTTACAGGAATGACTGCAACCCCCCATCAGCTAAGTATACTCTACACTGCTTTTCAGAGCTTAAAAAATAAAGCATCTTACCAAATAGGTCAATGTTGCAAGTTCCTGGCCTGTGAAATAAGCAGGAGAAAAAAAAAACAACAACAAACCAGAATTAAAACTTACCACATAGTGTCAGATGAAGTAGAAATACCATTCAGGTAATCAAATGGGGAATTTTACCAAAGAAGAGTCACTAGGACTGCAACGTTATTTATTGACATGATTACTCATTAAAGACAAGGAAAAAAACCTGTAAAGTGACATGGTAGGGCTGTTCTTTTACTTACAACCAATCCTGCACAGTGAAGAAACCACATATTTGAAGACAACCCCTCTTCTTGGGACATACAGGTTTACAAATAGTGAAAATGCAAAAGCAAGTGAAACGAAGAATGAAAACAGGATGACAAAGCAAGAAAGAAATGAAGCAATAAAGGAAAAGAAAGGGTTTAATAACAATGTTAAAACACAAACTCCTCCTACGGATTCAGAAAAGCACCCCTGTCCTGGGTTCAGGAACTGCACCAGCTGCTAGGAAGAACAAACATAACTTACAGCTGAACCCAGGCCAACCCTAAACCAAATTATAATAGGGAAATACTCAGATCTCAATTTGAGAAAGCAGCACACAATCATACAAGTTATAGTTATTTTAAAACATTTTTTTTTTTTTTTTTAAATTTTGCAGCCATATACAACTGCAAAGTACAATGACCAAAGGAGGCTGGCAACAGCCTTTCAGCAGATGGGAGCAGAAGCGAGATCGAGGTTACCCGAACCATCATTGTTTCCTGCACAGAATACCTCTCCTCTTGAATTCTAACCATGTTAACAGCTACCAGGCTTACCTATGAAAAAATTGACATAATCCTTCTTCATCTTATCCAAACCGATCTCCAAGAGCATTTGAATTGGAGTGATGCCAGTGAGAGAAACAGCCTCCATCTTTCCATGGTAAGACTGTTGAATCAATTTGCTCAGCAAACTGCTACTCCCTTGATGAATCTGAAAATTAGAAAGGTTTTCTTGTGATGTAACTGTACAAAATAACATAATCGTCAGTTAGAAGTACACCACCACGGACACAGAGGCAACCTGCGACACCTCAAAGTAACTTGAAAACAATACAACACAAATGAGGGGCAATAAAGTGACAAGAACTATACTGTACTTCAAACAACTCAAAATGTTAATGTTTACTGTAAAATACAAGTACAAACTTATTGTTAAATACAAATACATACCCAGGGCTGTATCTCACCACGTTCCAGGGATTCCAGGATCAGTGTGAAACATGCCATCAACTCCTGATAGGAACTGACACCTTAAAGAAAAAAAAAGGGTGCAATATTTTATCAATCCATATCATGACTTTAAAAAGGGTTACTCTAAAGAAACTACGACCAAAAGAGACCACTGAACTGTGTATGACTGCTGGAGAACAGCACACAGCAGAGGCAGATTGTCATAGAACACGTTTTAGCTACATTCTCTCTATAGACATTGAAGATCAACACACTTCTATAAACTTAACTGAACAGTTGCTGCACTCAAGGGGAATGAATGCAATTAAAAAGATACATAAGCCAATCCCTCAAACAGAAAGGACTTATTATAATCTCTGGAACAGCTTAACAAAAGTTATTTCTGTTAAGTGATCTGAAAAAATAATAATAGAAATATATTTTACTGAAGGACCATGAATGGTATTACAAGAATGATATTTATATGCAGCTTTATCAACTTAAAAGATGTCCCATGTCCTTCGGATCTAGAAAGACAATTTCTAAAGCTTTCTGCTTTAGAGCACCTGACTGTTAGCAATTGCTTTGTACCTTTTACAAATAAAATGAAATACAGTATCTGCTGCTAGATGTTGCTCTACCTTTTTATGTTGCAAGAAAGTAAATCAACTCACATACCTAAAATTGGCTCTTTGAGGAAAAGACAAAACTGTTGATAATTTTCTGAAAAGCTTAGTCCTTAAAACCGAGAGAAATTCATATTCATTTCACTGAGAAAGCAACACAGAATAGTAGACACAGAGAACAGAAGAACTAATGGAAACCAGATGAGGCAAAACCCCACAATACACTTACATTTCATTTTGCACCATAATTGTTCAGCAAAATCCAGGTCTCCTCGCTCACTGAAGATAGATTTTATTGAACTGTCCACTGCCTCTGTGTCACATTGGATTTTCTAAAAAAGTTAGTTGGTCTTAAGTAAGACAGGATGTCTAACGTTGAAAGGCCTTGGGAATTTAACTTTTCTCCAGAGATCAAAATAGGATGCATCACTAATTTTTCCTCTTTTTCCAGGGAAACTACCACCTAGAAACTACTCTGCATAGTAGTTTGGAAGCATAGTTTTATTTAAAACTGAGACTAATTCCATTCAGAACTATCACATTGGATAATTGCTACCTTTGGACCAAGAAGTGAAACCTACCATCAGAAAGGCTTTGGATCACAGCCAAGTAAAGCTCAACCAAACTGTCTAATAAAAACCTCTCAAGATGATCCTTCTCTCCTTACAATGACACGATCCATAGAGCATTGGTAAACAGCAAGAATAGAGCCTAGCAAGCACTAGCTCAGAACAACCTGTGTTACACTGAACTTACATGATTAAATAACTGTATGTACAACCAGCAGTGCCCTTGGAGACTAAAATGAATACATAAATAGGTTCTCAGAACAAAAAACTCTTGTCATCCCCATCCTAATTATTTCCGGTTTAGCTGATACAAAACACATTCGATTTTTAGCTTATCAGTGATACACAAGTTCCCTTTCAATAAGGAAAAGGCCCAAATCTTTTCTTGTAGACTGAAAAGGAAATCTGAATTTCTCCATTGCTTTAGAATATCTCAAACCCCTAGATAAATAAGACAGATACCCCACTGATACCATTAAATTGGCCCAAAAGCATTACATTAGTCAAGAAAAGCAAATTAATGATAGAACATAAATACTATATATTAGAGAAGATATTACGCAAGTCAAAATTTGCAGTAACTACAGTGGTTATAAGGGTAAAAAGCTGACAAAATAATCGGTAGGAAATCAGATATACCTCCATTCCATCTCTGTTTCCAGACACACAACATCCATCCAGCTTCCTCTTTAAATCTAGTAGAGGAGAAAAATAAATTTCACCACTATGGAAGAAAAAAGTATAATCAAACCAATCATCTAAAACCCCAGAGACATCATCACAAACAAATACCCTGACCAGATGGCTAACAGACCAAATGTATCCATTTAGAAACGGGTTTTACTGGGCAAGGACATAGTCTGAAGATAGAATTTCTTAGTATTTCTTACAAGCCCTGCATTTTCGCCATATACCTTTACTACATGCTGTTATCTGAGTATTGCCTTGTGAAGTGCCAGTGTGGAAGCAGTAAGGAGCAGCAGGTGGTCTGTTAAGCGTCTGGCTTTCTTCTACATGATTTCTCAAGAGTTTTTGTCTGGTTTATCTTTTGTCCAAGCTTAATCTACATACCAAAAATTTTACAGTTGCACTTGAGAAGCTTTTGCATCCCTGCGTCTGCTTCCCTTATTAGATTTGGTTTCTAGTACCTTAAAACTTCTGACAAGACACACAGCGTTCACCACAGTTTTCACAAGTCATTTTGTATGCTTTAAGACATCATCAAAATAGTTTTCCACCACCAAATGGACATTTGGCACATGTGGAATTGCCTTTTACTTCTGTGAAATGTGCCATCCCTCCCTCCCCATCTCCCCATGTAAGAAACAGCAATTACCAGCCAGAAATTCCTGGACTAGTTCAACAGCAGATTCAGGCTCTAATGGCTCAGGCCACTTGGTCACACCTGTCTTCAAACCTTCAGCCAAAGCCTAAAGGCAGCATGAACATCGAAACAACACAAATCAGTTCTTGTGTGAGGTTCTGCACGTCATACTTCAAAAAGCAGTTAACGTCCCCAAGAATCACACATCTCTCTCTGTACAGCCAGCCATGATATCAGAAACTTCTTGAATTTCCTGGCTTGGGTGTTCATGAGTCCTCTTTGTATTCAAGGTTCCCAAAACTGAACTCAAAGTTTATTCGAAAATAAAAGTTACCCTTGAAACATCTGGTGAAGTTTTAAATAAATTAACACATAAAAATCACCATTCCATGTAAACCCAAAACTCAAACTTCTCGCTTATACTTACAAGGAGAAACTGCAGTTCTCTGTATAGCTGATACACAGGACTTCTGGGGTCCCCAGGCTCCAGGGCAATATTCTGAAAGTTCCAGGAAGTTTATGTCAGTGTCAAGCCTTAGAAACCAACTGTCCTAAAACTGTCATTAGTGAAATGCATTTCAGCATAACTGGTAATTTAGACTTTAAACGCTTGTGTTGCTTAGACAGTCGCACAAGTATCAAGAGTTAAGCTTATTTTCTATCCTTTACATGGCTTATGTCATGAGTAGTGTAAAGAGCTCGGGTTTGCTTGCTTCTTCCTTCTTGACTTACCAGTGTGGCAGCTGAAATTAGTGGGGGTGTGTCCAGAATCTTATCAACAGTATTCCATGTAATATCAACACAGATATTGATTTCAGATTCTACAATTGTGTCCTCCAGTGCAGCAGCTCTGAGAAGTTCATACTGAGCAAATCCTTTTGTTGTCACCTAGGATGAACAGGTTTAAAAATCAAAAAAAATACAACACTGGTTGGTTCGTATGCATGCAAAAAATCACTTTAAAAGCATTTCACACACACACAGAAAGGGCTAATATCAGAAAAATTCATTACAACACAGGGAGCTCAAATGTTACTTCAGGAGAGACTTATATTATGGGCTCGTACTTAGGTGAGTTTTTAAAAAGAATCTATAAAGCTTCCCAAAACCAGCATCATAAATCCAAAACCAGAGTTTTAAAACTTAGACTGGAAACTTGACAGACCGTAAAAACTTACGACAGATGAATGATGCATTATTTTATGTTGCATTTTGAGCTCTCCCAGGTTTGCAAAACAGGTTTTATCAGCTGTAGGACCTAGGAAAGAAAAAAAAGAATAAAAAAACCCAAACATTTGGCATAATTCAAATTCAGAACTTCTTTTTCCTTCCCCCGCCCACCTTCCCTTACTTTCAAAGCAAGGCAGTACCAAGCCAACACCCCACAACAGACAACTTTGGCATTGCTACATCGACATTCCCACAGTTTTAAGCCTTCCATATTTTATTGTGTGTCATTATAAGCTTACCATCACATGTAACCATATGCAAATTGATCCCCATGATTTTGTTTCCAGCTTTGAGAGGCTCAGCTCCAAGCCAACAGGTATGTTCAGGATCAGAACCGTCACACCTTATCCAGAGGGGAGGAAGCACAACCACTTCACCTAGCTTCAAGTGGGTCATGTTTGGATTTTGAACCATGGTAAACAAGGAAATCAACTGTCTGAAAATACAAATGGGGAAAAAAGTAAGATGCCAGCAAAATACAGCTAAATCCAACCCTACGTAAAACCGAACCAGTGTTTATCACACTTTGTTAGCGGACATTAAATCATTCTGCAAAAAGAATGCAGTCTCATAATCCTCTTGTTACAGCTTTCTTTGCTCTCCTACACCCAGCCAGTCCCACTGACCTCACAGGACAGCTTGCAAGTGCCTTCCCAATACCTGGACTTCAGGTGCTTTGTGGGAATACTATTAGCCAGGAGAGGCCATCTTACAAGATGAAAAGCAGTCATATCTCCTCACTCAACTAATGCGTAGTTTAACTTGGGGGGATTCAAAATAATACAGGTTCTGAATATTGGGAAGAGAGACAAAAAAAATATGACATCTGATGACACTTACTTTGCTCTTCTGACAGAAAGAGGCACTGGTCCAGAATTCTCCTTTGGTAAAAGCACAGAGGCATCTGCTTTTGATTCTTCCATGGAGTCACTGTCTTCACTGGGTCTCTTTAAGAGAAATAATTAGATATGTAAAAAAAACGGAAGGTGTGTGAAAATACTTGATGGGAATTCAAAAGTGTGGATTAATCAACAGCACGTACACTTACTGCTTTCTGCAAAACATAAATCATAGTGTTTCCATGCCAAAATCTTTCAACGGGACTTTCACAACTATCACCAATCAAACAGATCTCTACATCACTCTGAAAAAGAAAACAGTTAAACTTTTAAAATACACTACATGTAAATACTGCATTCCAGCACATTTTTTATACCAGAAATGGCAAAGGTAACTAATTCGACGAACTGTTTCCCAACCCTATTACAACTATTCACTTATCTAAGGCTGGCTGACTTCAGGAAAACACAGTTCCTGCCTGCTGTTGGTGGAATCAAATCAGCTGCAGAAATGCAACAATTTTTTGCTCACCAATGTGGAAAATTTAATCTCTAACAGGTTGATTCTATGAGAAGCTGAAGTTTGATTTGATCAACAAAACTTCAGATATCTTGATATCTAAGGGGACCTTGTTGTCACAACTGCAGTTACCAGACATCTTGAGATGGAAAACGCTTATTTAAAGTAACATTAAATACCGATCACTTCTCTTAATGTCTCGTGAGAACTCTAAACAAAGTCTGGAGACATTAAATAACTCAAGAATGAAGGAAGACCAATCTGTCTTTGGGCTTTTCCATGCCCAGAGAAGTATTGTTTGATCCTTTGCAACTAGTTTGGTTTTCATATTACTGTATACTTCAACAGCCCCTGATTTTATTTTCAAACTATTACCAAGCTCATATAAATTCCAAGATTAATACAACTAAATAGCACTGACGCTCTCCAGCCATTGCTATGTGCCAAAAGCTACTAGAAGCAATTGCCATTTTCATACAGATAGCCCAATCCCCCTAAAATTACTTAAATAAAAAGCATGCCATCAGAAGCTGCGAGTTTGAGGCATGAAAACGCTACCTGAGGGCAGCCACTGCTGCAGCAGCTGTTTCCTCCCCACACAGCTCCACTGCGCACCTTCTGCGCTCCACTGGGCCGCCACCCAGTAACACTCTCACCTGACCCATATAGTCATTTTGAACAACTTAATTCCTATCAAGTACCGAGCAGCAGGTGGAACGGAGGAATAAGAAGGGCAGAGAGGGCTGGCGGCGACCCGGGAAGGCGGCACCGAGGCCCGCGTCTCTCCGCCCTAAGACAGGCGGATGTAGCCCTAAGATAGAGATGGATTTAAGAGGTGTCGCTGAGGTAAATTTTCGGTTTTACGCCATATTCTCACATATGCCTCAGCCGCTAATCAGTGGCTGAGTATTTTAAACAGACACACTCAGGTTACGTGACTATATTTTCATATATATGTTTACCTCTAAGAGATATGGATGTTCAGGGATACTTTCCCTTCCTTCTTCATATATCCTGAAAGAAAACGTTGAAAGTACGTTAACACTTAACGTACATACATTTTTTTTCCTCAGCGTTCCTCATTAAACAATGAACTGCATAAAAACAACACGGTCCTACAAACAGAGCCCCTGCAGCCTCTCACACAAGACCCACTCGATACCCCCACCTCAGCCACCCCCTCCCCTAAGCAGAGACCCCTGCTTCTGGCAAAGCCTCACCGGAGCAGACACTGGTACAGCCCGACCGCACCCCGCCACCGCTGCTCCACCACCATGACTGCCGCCCGCCACAACCGAACTGCGCGCCTCACCCGCCCCCCCGGCACTACATTTCTTTGAGGCAGCGTGACTCGTCACGCCGGATCCTTCCGCCAGAAAAGAGTCCCTCTGTTTGAGAGGAGACTGAGAGCGACAGAGGCCTCCGGAGGGACATCGCATGTCGTGACATACCCGCAGGGGCTCAGGCAGAGGTCAGGGTAGGGGACGGACTGGCGGAACGGCGGACGGCGGTGGGGCTAGCGTGCGGAAGAACATCGCTCATACTGAACGGGGAGTAAGGTGTCCTTCCTTTTCCGGTTGGGGCCTCGGCGGAGTCGGGCGGGAGCACGGTCCGCTCCGCGCCGCCACCATGGTGAGGCGCAGGCCGCGGCAGCCAGGCGCGGTCGGGGCAGTCACTGAGGCGGGCGGTGGGTTCAGGCTGGTGGGAGCCAGGCCCGGCGAGCAGAGCTCTGCCGGGTCGTGCCGCGGGCAGCCCTAGGGCTGGAGGCGTGGGCCGGCCTGCCGGCCGCCATTTTGGAGCCGTCAGCCCTCGGCTTGCCGCGTGGAGCCCGTGTGGGGAGGCCCGGCCGGGTGAAGGGGGCCTGGGGAGGGTGGCAGAGGGGATCGCGGCAGAGGGCTTGGCTTGGTCCGCTGAAAGTCACCCTTTCACGGCCCGTGTGGGAGATGGGGCCTGTATCGCCGCCTAGCAGGGCTTCTCTGGTTTTCTCACTTATTTCTCTAAAGGAGAATGAAGCCACACGGAAGCTTTGGCAGCTACATGGAGTCAGAAGAATGTTTTTTATAAGTAGCTTTTGCGCCTTTTTTGTTATTCCAGAACAGAACGGTTTGGGTTGGATGAGACCTTAAAGATCATCTAGTTCTAACCCCCTGCCACAGGCAGGGATTACCAAAGGTTACTAAATTGTTACCCAAGGATTCAGTTCTAGATTAATGTCACCCAAGTGACTTGGAGATCTGTTGAACTTAAAAGCTCAGGTATAGTTTTCTGGCCGTGGATTGTGCTGAGGGGCACTATGTTATGTGAAAATTATTGCTATGATGATGTAATTTGCGTCTTATCCAGTGCTCAGCGACAGTTGCCTGCTGTCAGCGTGCTGGCACTGCTGAGCTGAAGACCCCTTCATTCTGAGCAATAGTGGATGGATGGGAATGGTGAATGCAAGAAACTTAACTTTACTTGTGCTTAATTGTGCATCCTTTTCCTTTCCCAGGCTTGCGCTCGCCCACTGATTTCTGTGTACTCTGAGAAGGGGGAAGCATTGGGCAAGAATGTCACCCTGCCCGCTGTGTTCAAGGCTCCCATCCGCCCCGACGTTGTGAACTTCGTTCACACCAACCTGCGCAAGAACAACCGGCAGCCCTACGCTGTCAGTGAGCTTGCAGGTATGGATGGATGGGAACACCGGTGGTAGGCCTCGCCTGTGGTGTAGGTGGGCTAAAACTGAAACAGATCCAGAATGGAAATGACAAGTGCTGTCAGTGGGATTCTGTATAGGAGGTGCGATGAAAACCCCCGTTTAATAATCCTTGCTCTGTGTTGAGACTTGCCTGAGGCATTTGTCAAGAAGAAACCTGTGCAGATGGCATTTGTTAGCGTTGCTTCGGCAGCTTGTAGGTGCAGACACCCTCTGCTTCCCAAGAAATCTCTACTAGGAACATGCGCTTATTGATGAAAGTATTTCACATAAACATGTTAGCCTGCTAGGAACAGCAGTGCCCATTCAGATCTCCAAACTGAGGGCCAGGCTTAGAAATTAGTATGTTAATGTACTTGATTGTAATAAGCAGGTCTTTCATATGGTAAGAATTAACTACCCTGCTCAGATCGGGATTTGTTTTGCTGAAATGATGAGATTCCACTTCATTGGTCCGTGTTTCTGAAACACATGATAACAGTGGAAGTTCTGATGGCTGCTCCTGGATTCAGCTTATCCGTGTTTGGGAAAACTCCTCTGTTGTCACTGTTCTGAGTGAAAATCTTTCTATTCCAGGTCATCAGACCAGTGCTGAATCTTGGGGCACTGGGAGAGCTGTTGCTCGTATTCCTCGAGTACGAGGGGGTGGAACTCACCGCTCTGGTCAGGGTGCCTTTGGAAATGTATCCTTTCATAGCTGCTGCCATCAAGCAGAACAATTAAGTATCTAAATAAAACAGAACCTTCTGCTTGAGGCAGTCGTAATCTACAGTGCATGACCAGGTTTAGGAAATGAATGATGTGATTAGAACCTTCTGTATGCAAATCCAGCCTGGTTTTAATGAGCAGCAGCCCCCATTGATCCCCACTGCAGAAGGGGGTGTTGTGCATCGCATGATGCCCTATCCTGCCGTGATGTCGTAATTTGCGTCCTACTCTGTGCTGGGTGACAGTTGCCTGCTGTCAAGTGTCCTGGTGCAGGTGGGTGACGAACACTTAACGCTGAGCAAGGATCTAAGTGCCACACTAGAGAGAGAAGCTTCAACAAGGTGGTTCTTAACAGTCCATGCCTAGATGTGTCGTGGAGGCCGCATGTTTGCCCCCACCAAGACTTGGCGGCGCTGGCACCGGAGGGTGAACACAACTCAAAAGCGTTACGCCATCTGCTCTGCCCTGGCTGCATCTGCTCTTCCAGCTCTCGTCATGTCCAAAGGTGGGAATACTGTCTCTGGAAAGGCTTTACCTTGCCTGAGCAGCATCAGTGACTATGTGATTACTCAGAATGTTTCTCCTGGGTAACTGAATTAGCTTCTAAAGAGTTGAGAGACTGCCCATTCTTCTGTGCGGAGTGGTTTGCTTAGTTACAACGTGGGAAGGCACTTTGCAGTTGTGCAGTGTTGGAAGTTGGGAAGGTGCTTTTCTTTGTGTTGCTGACACAAATCTTGTGTTTATAAAAACTGAATCGGGACTCACATGGCAGTTCAGTTTGATTACTGCTCATGGAAGCCAAAGATTTGCTTAGTAGTTACTCAGGTACAGCAGGTTCTGCCCAAGGCAGGCATGTGAGACTTCACTGCTGTAGTTATTTTGCCTGAATATCAGATCATGAATTCAATTTCCACTTCTGGTGATTTTGTACCATTTCTGCGCACACAAGTCAATAACATGGAGAAATGCTTGTGGCCAGGGTCAGTGGGTAACTCCCTGTCTTGTAAAACCCTCACTAGGCCACCGGATTGAGGAGATTCCAGAACTTCCTCTGGTTGTTGAAGATAAAGTTGAGAGTTACAAGAAAACCAAGGAAGCTGTTCTCCTTCTTAAGAAGCTTAAAGCTTGGAATGACATCAAAAAGGTGAGTTTATAAGGTGGTGTTTTTGAGGGAGCCCCAGGTGATAAGACCCTGCAGTAGGAATCCATTCTCATCTCTGAAGAATGATGAACTCCTCACTGGTCCGTGTTGCAGATCCACAGTGATGATTGTGAAGTTCTGACTGAAGCCGTTTGATTGTGCCTGACTGGTGGGGTTGAGACTCCATGGAATACTCACCTTGTTGCTTTTCCGTAGGTTTATGCCTCCCAGCGGATGCGAGCTGGGAAGGGTAAGATGAGGAACCGCCGTCGCATCCAGCGCAGGGGACCCTGCATCATCTACAACGAGGACAATGGGATCATCAGAGCTTTCCGGAATATCCCAGGTAACTTAACTTCGGATGTGCCGACTCTTTGTTGGGAGACTGCCTGGAATGATGAGATTCCACTTCACTGGTCCGTGTTTCTGAAACACATGATTTTGTGGAAGTTCTGACTTGGTGACGAAGCCTCTCTCTGTTTCTGTGGACTTCCGTGTCTGTTCAGAGTGTAGTCCTCCATTCCTTGATTTTAATCACAAGCTGACGGGATCGGTTCGCCTGTTTTCCTGTAGGAATCACTCTCCTCGATGTGAACAAGCTGAACCTGCTCAGACTCGCTCCCGGGGGCCACGTTGGGCGTTTCTGCATTTGGACAGAAAGTGCCTTCCGCAAGCTGGATGATCTGTACGGCACCTGGCGCAAAGCTGCCACGCTCAAGAGCGACTACAAGTGAGTGTGGACAGGATGGGATGGGAGAGTTCCAGACCCAGATTAGACCTTAGGCAGAAGCTCTTCCCTGTGAGGGTGCTGAGGCCCTGGCACAGGGTGCCCAGAGAAGCTGTGGCTGCCCCATCCCTGGCAGTGTTCAAGGCCAGGTTGGACACGGGCTTGGAGCAACCTGCTCTAGTGGAAGGTGTCCCTGCCTATGGCAGGGGGCTGGAACTCCGTGAGCTTTAAGATCCCTTCCAACACAAACCAGTCTGGGATTCTGTGACTGACAGGATGAATGTTTGTTTCACAGCCTGCCCATGCACAAGATGACCAACACGGACATTGGAAGAATCATGAGAAGCCAGGAAATTCAGAAGGCCCTGCGTGCTCCAAAGTAAGGGATTTATCTATGAATGGGCACCTTCCCCAGTTGCCTAAATCCCTCAGGTGGGGGGGGCTGGGTTTAGGTTACATTTTGGGTACAAATACAAGGAATTACAATTCCTCAAACCTCAGTGAAAACTGAGCGGAATGTGGGTTGTGGCCTGAGCCGGTGCTACGCTATGGATGTGTTCTCCGCAGGAAGAAGATTCGCCGCAGGGTCCTGAAGAAGAACCCATTGAAGAATCTGAGAATCATGATCAAGTTGAACCCGTACGCCAAGACAATGAGGCGCAACACCATCCTGCGCCACGCACAGAACGTGAGTGCGCCGGGGCCAGGCACGGTGGGGTCGGTACCTCAGGGATGTCCTCATCATCTCGTTTTGTCTTTTATTTTGCAGCATAAACTTAAGGAGGAGAAGAAAGCCAAGGCCAAGCTGGCAGCCAAGGTCCCGGCAGAGCCCGCAGTCAAGACCCCTGAGGCCAAGGCCCCTGCAGCCAAGGCCCCTGCAGCCAAGACCCCCGCAGCCAAGGCCTCTGCAGCCAAGACCCCCGCAGCCAAGGCCCCTGCGAAGACCAAGGCTAAAGCATGAGGCGGGCGGCTTCCCGCGGGAGCGTGCCCGGCTCTGTCCGGGATCACCGGCAATAAATCCTCTTGGAGCAGAGAGCCGGTGTCGTGTTTGTCGTGTGTTCGGAGGGGAAAGGATGCGGGGCGGGGGGAGGTCTTTCCCTACCCCCGCTGGAGCCGGGGTTTGTCCGTTTCCCGTTTTAATCGTGGGCTGTGACCGGAACCGGCCGCACGGTGGCAGCCGCTGCCCGGAAACGTTCAAAGCGCGGAGGACCGTGTGGCTGCGCCTCCTCCGCCCCGCCAGGGGGCGCTGCGGCGGGGCGCGGTGACGTGAGCGGGGCGGGCTGGCGCGCGGCGGAAGATGCTGAGCCGGCTGCAGGAGCTGCGCAGGGAGGAGGAGACGCTGCTGCGCGTGAAGGCGGCGCTGCGCGAGCAGCTCACGCGGCTCAGGGTGCGCGGGGGGGGGGGAGGGGGGGGGGAGGGGGAGGGGGACGGGCCTGGACCGGGACCGGGCGGCGGGGGACGGGGCGGCCCCGACACCGAGAGCGGCCGGGGGGTGCTGGAGATCATGTGACCGATTGCGTGTGATCACAGACACCGAGGGCGCGGGCAGAGGGAGACCCACAGTACACGGACCGTAGGCAGAAGCTCTTCCCTGTGAGGGTGCGGAGGCGCTGGCACAGAGGAGCTGTGGCTGCCCCATCCCTGGCAGTGCTCAAGGCCAGGTTGGACACAGGGCTTGGAGCAAGCTGCTCTGGAACTGGAGGAGCTTTAAGGCCCCTTCCAACACAAACATTCTGTGGTGTTACTGAGTCATTGCTGCAGAGGTGTCAGTGTGCCCGTGCTGCAGGTGGAGGAGCTGGCCCTGCAGTCCATGATCCGGTCCAGAGAGGAGAATGGGACCGTCCCTTCCTCCACAGCAGCAGAGGAGGTTCAGAAGGTGAGGGAAGGCTTTGCAGGGGGAGAACAGGGGGATGGGGAGTTCCAGGGGTGGCACCGAGGTGACAGCAGTGCCTGTGAGCAACTGGGGGGGCTGCGGTTCAAGTTCTTGTTGACCTCGTTCACACTGCTTTGTAATTATAGATCTGATTGTGACACTCTTACCCTGACAGACTCTTGGGCAGATGGACAACGAGGCTGCCATCAACCAAACCGAGTTACACTTAAGTCTTCAAGATCATGGAGAGGAGGAAGAGGAGGAGGAATCAGATTCTTGACGGAAGAAAACCTGAGATGGTTTTCATACAGACTCAGGAGTTTCTGCCTCATTCAAACTCACCATTTTGTCCTGTGCACAGATACAAACTGCAGGACACGCAGGACATGAGGTCTGGTGCAGTTACACTTGAACATGCAAATGTCATGTCATAGACATTAAAAGAATGAACATTTGCCGTACAAACATGTAGCGTAATCCCTTCCCTATTTAAAACCTAATGTAGCTTACTGCATCCGTGGCTGGGGCTTGGGAAAGTCATTGAGTCAGACTAATTTAACATGTATTGTGACCAGCAAGTTTGTTCTTATTTCCTGATGCTGAGAAATGAAACCAGGCCACAGAGGCTGGTGCTGACCCAGTGATTGTGTTTTAGACCTCATCTGCCTCAACTGGGAGGTGGGAAAAGCCATGTCCAGGCTCCTGGCTTCCATGTTCTCACCTGAGCACAAGGTTTATTCCTTCCTCTTTCTGTACCTCCTGGTGCTCTACCATATTGGCAACTTGGACCAACACAGTGAAGTGTTTCCTACTTTGTGCTCTCTCAGACTAGCAGCCAAGAGCCTTGTACTCATCCACAAATCATACATGCTACTTGTAATACAGAACTAGTGCTTTTTGAGCACTGTTACTTACTTTTTCCCTTAGCAACTTGTAAATAATGCAATTCCACCTTCTGCTTTCAAGTGATCTTCAAGGAGGAGTTTAAGAACTTAGTTATAAAATGGGAAGTGAGTGCCCTCTCATTTCTTTAATGGCACAAAAAGCACTGTAACTGCTGCTCATGGACAGACAAGATGCTTTTCCTCCTCATTTTATCCATTCTCATTTAATACACAGAAATCCAAACTCTGTTAAACTGGTTAAAAACAAACAATAAAAGTAATATCCTGACTCAGCCACTCTGTCAGCTGTCATTGTCACTTACCTGCTGGTTGTGCCTGCACAACAGTAGGGGCTGTTGCTGACTCCCGTATCACTCAGAGAAAACAGAATCAACACCCTTGTGAAGTCTGCTTTTAAGAGCAGGAAAGGATTTGGGAATTGGTTGAGTAGCCCAGGTGTGGTCAGAACCTGGGATTCTACTTCCCATGAGCTGTCGCAGCTGTCTGAGGAGAGATGGGGTATCTGGCTCTTATTTGGACTGTAGCTTCCTGGGGTGTCCTACTACATGTACCTGGACTTGCAGTGCTCATGTTACCCTTGTCTGGGGAGCAAACATGTAAAATGGGAGCTCAGTGTCAAGCTGGCTGTTCACATATTGCACATTTCTATTACCAAACAGTAAAGAGTACTACTGTAACACCCCTGTGTGTTTGTGTGTGTGTAATTCACATGTAAAGCTCAGGACATATTTAATTAAACACTACCCAGCCTTGGCACTACTAAAAAGTCACATTCAAAGGAGAAGCGGCTGAAAGAAGCCTCGGCTGTGTCAGTGAGTCATTTCCTACTGTCACTGGCGGAAGGGCTATTCTGTCTCTCTCCGATACTCGATACTGTTGGCCAAGTGGAAGTTTACATCCCAACAGATGGGGATTCCTTTTGGGAAAGAACTTCAGGCATTTCCTTCTCTGAAAGGTCAAGGAGCTGAACTCTGGCTAGTGCTGCTCACCACAGCTGTTAAATCTCTGTGCAGAGGACACGCTCCTGGTTCTGTTGTACAGGAACAGCAGCAGGTGATGGAAGCTGGGCTTGTGAGGGAAAATAACCTGCAGAAATGAGCATTATACAGTGTAGAACCTGAAGCAATGAGTGCAGTGATGGATGCAGACAGGTAGGTCTGCCCTTGGCTGGGTGGATCACAATGTTCCCATGCCACAGCCTCTCACACCCTGCCCGGGGGGGCACAGTACTGAGCACTGAAGGCTGTACAAAGTTGTGCCAGTGACACAGACACAAGCTCTGGAGTGAGGCTTCTCTCCGACAGCCCTCAGAAATGCAGGGAACAGGGTATATACAGAAAGAGTGTGTAATGCTCTTTGGTTAAGGTCTTAAGTCTCTATAAAAGCTTCAAGAAGTTATTTGATAATATATTTATTAAGAGAACCCATTGCTAAACATCTGAGAGAATAAAACAATAGAGGATCTTCATACACTTCAGACACTAAACACAGTTGTCATGAAACTTCAGGTTAGAAGAAAGCAAAACTGCCTGGATCTTTGTCTCGATTCTGTAGGACACGGCCAAGAACTAACTTTTAAAACTCAATCAGAAAGACATCACTAAACCCAAGTAGGATGATATGTTTTAAAAATAAATATAGAAATATGAACAAGTCTACAATTAGAATAGTGCCCTGGACGTTCCAAGAAATGCAGAGCTCTTCCATCTAGACCTGTGAAGAGAGATCTCGGAACAAACATTGGAACCATCAGGCCTAACTTTCAGGTACAGTTTGACAGCAGCAGAAGCATGCTCGACAGATACAGGTTCAGGGCATCCCTAACCCTTTCTGCGTGGGAGATCAGGTAAGCATGATTGAAGTACCAACGATTTACAAAGGATCTTGATAAAGTTCAAACAGGCTGGGAGGAAACACCCTCAGTGATATCTTCGTTAAGAAAGAATATCCATAATCACTTAAAATCAGCAAGCACTGGAACTTAGACATCTTACAGTTTGGTCAGTGAACGAATGTCATCCAATACGATACCAATTAGTTTATGACAAAGTTTAAAACCATTTGGCACATGCTATAAAGACATTCTTCCTTAAGAGGTGAAATACATGTCTGAACAGGTAGAAGCTGAGGAAAGAGGACCAAAATAGCATCGTTGTTAACAGATGTACAGGACAGGAGCAGCTCTTCTGCACTCAGACTCCAGCAGCATGTGTGGGGGTGCTTGGTTGGTTAAGGCCTATGGTTGAACAGAGCCACCCTGCAAAATCCACCTCCTCCGCTTCAGATCTCTTAATGAAAGCATGAATCTGAGCAGAGGAGAACATCATCAGTATTCAAGCACCCAAATCTGTTAAGTAATAGTTTTGAATAGCCTGCAATAGCATAAATCCAGTTTACTTTCAGTTTTCAAGCTAGCTATAAGATCTGGCAAGCCACGCGAAGCAACCAGGAGAGATTTTCTGCAGGGTTCTGGAAATAGCCAGCATATGAAGTGTACACGTGGCACAGTATTCCAGAGGAATGCTGCCTACACGGTGCCTACTGCACAATACTTACACCAAAGTATGCAATAAGGACGTGACTCAGCCACTTGAGATAATACTCTGGAAAATGTCTGCTTGTGCATAGAGAGGCTTTTTGTAATCAAAAGAGTCTGACTGCATTTTGTACCCTTATTGTACAACAGGATCACAGCAGGGGAAACGTGATTTTCTGCAGCAGAACTTCAGTGCTAGAGTTACAGTTAAGGCCATGAAAGATCCAACGAAACTGGTAAGGTCACTTCATGCAGAACAATTGCAGCATGGTTGGGTGTAGTAGTTCATAGTTTTTGCTAAGCCAAGCTGACACGAAGGATAAAATCTGCCTCTCTTTCAACAGATGATTAAAATGCATTTAGCTATTCCATAAGCAAGTGGTATTTTGTTCTCTTGTCCTCCTGAAAGTGATAATCTATACACCTTATTATTGACGGATAAACCCAAGAAAGAGAATTCTTTTGCTCATTCATACCATTAGGTCATCTACTTCTTGTCATTACCAGACTCCCAAACCCACTCATTTTGGTCTCCTTGACAGTCCCTGTCCTGGGAGCTTGTGAAACCTGTAACCCCTTGAAAAGAAGCCCCAGAAAAGCAGCTGCTGCTAAAACTGTCTGAGCTGCTTATGTCAAGGGCCACAAATTACACTCTGGGCCTCACACTCAGGTCCTGATCTTAGGGCAGCTGAGGAATCCAACCTGCATGGACAAGAGCTCTCAGTTCAAGTTCAGAGCTTTCACTTACCATCAGCTGCTTCAAGTCGGCTCTCTCAGCGGGATTTTTAATTAAACTAGGAAAACAGAAAGTGTTGCACAAATTACATGTATTATCTTGTAAAGATCAGGTTACATCATGCTGGTGTGCTGCTTTGGTCTAAGAAGATCCCACTCTAGATACAAGCATTAGGTAATGCAGTGCCTCAAACAAATCAGGCTCTGTACACGAGTCCCTTCTGTAGTTGTCACAGGTACAGTTTTAGGTATGAAGTCCTGAATTGCCCGATAACTCTCCATGAGGGCAGCAGTGAGTGTCTATAACCAAGTGTCTATAACCAAGCTGGAGAGATCAAATTCCCATTTAAACAAAACCTCAACACTAGGAACTGCTTTATCCCCCAAGTTTCTTTTACCCAAGCCTTTTCAAGCTCTGTACCAAGTATGGCTGTTGCATTACTTTTGTGCCATTTGGTAGCAGTAAATATGTATATGTAGCTGCTAATAAATTAACTTCCCAAACTGTAAAACTGCCTCCCTCAGCACTGAATATACTGGTTCAGTGCTGGTATCACTTAAGTGCAACTGGACAAGTAAATCAGTGGGTAAACTGTTGCTGTGATAAAGTTGTTGGTTCAGTAAAACACTGGGAAAGAAAAAGACAAATATGTGGAGCCTGCAAGACTTGTGCATCACAAGGAACAGTCATTGCAGAACACTGTGAAGGTTACTCAAAAGTAAAGATCCTCCTTTGGAACTGTGGCATATGATCAGTCGTAAGTGCTACGATGTCTTCGATGCTGAGAAACCTAAGTTGCATACAGCAGCAGAAATCATATTGTAAGGAGGGGAACATCTCTCAGCTTTGGGGTTCTCTTTGGATACATATGCTGTTAAGCTGGTGCCTGCAGGATGAGCTTTAGGCACATTAGCAGTCAGAGAAAGAGGATTACACTAACTGAAATCACATTTACCATAGCCACAAGTAGGAACTGTCCTGGTTTTGGCTGGGATAGAGTTAATTTTCCTCCCAGTCTCTGGTGCAGTGCTGGCTTTAGTTTGAGAACAATGCTGATAACACACCATGGTTTAGTTTTCGCTAAGTAGCGCTTACCCTGATCAAGGACTTCTCAATCTCATGCTCTGCCAGAGAGGAGAGGCACAAGAAGCCAGGAGGAAGCAAAACCAGGAGAGCTGCCCTGAGCGAGCTGAAGTCTTATTCCATACCACAGACCATCATCCCAGTATATGAACTGGGAGAAGTTGGCCAGAAGGGGCTGCTTACTGCTCAGGGACAGGCAGGGTGGTGATCATTTTTATTGAGCATCACTTGTTTGGTCACAGTGTTTACTCCTTCCTTTATTTCCTATTATAATTATATTTTATTTCAAATATTAAACTGTTCTTATCTCAACACACAGGTTTTTACCCTTTTCTAATTCTCCTCCCCCTTCCACTGTAAGGTACTCAGCAAGGTA